GGATCTTTGAGATAAAACGTGAAGAATCACTACAAGTGGCATAGATTAGGGTTTGTTGTTTTTAACAAGAGAAAAAATTGAAGAGTTAAATATTAACATTCGGTCATTTATTGTATCAATTTGTACCTCTATACAATTACATAACGTCTTATTTGTATCATAATATGCTGTTGTAGTAACTAGTAAAGACTACAAAAACCATGGTAAACAAAAGAGCCGATGATATTTAAACAAATGGAAAAAATATATATACAACCAAACAAAACACACAAACATTGAGATCTGATGTATGTTCATAAAAGAAGAGGAACATATCTTTATTCGAAAAGGGATACCAAACTTCATCCAATTTTTTTTTTGAAGGGATGCATTAAAAACACTAGAAAACAAATGAGCTTGATTGGCAACAATAACTTCATCCAAATTTTCAGCCATGGATAACCTAAGTGAGCGCACAGAAAAAATCCTCAACATGTCTCCTTTCCATAGCCAAGTATTTGAAGCTTTGGAGAGATTGAGGTTAGTGACAGCCTAGGATAAACCTTCTAGCTCAACAATTTCTATACCCTTTCTCGGAATTATCTTCCATTGCCCCTAAAAAACAACCACATGATTATTGTTTACCATCTCGAAAACCTTACAATTCTTACTTCAAGCATGTACAATTTAGGAAGGACTGCTTTAAAGGAAGAAAGCCACACCTTGTCTTTCCAAAAAAAATGAGTATGATTTCCATCTCCCATTTTTCTTTAAAAAAAAATTAACAAGATCCTCCCTTATTTGATAAAGGCTTTCCATCAATACAATTTGTTTTGTGCAAGTCTTTAATACAAGAACACCAAAATGAATTCACCTCAACCTTTAATTTCCACCACCATTTAGCAAGAAGGGCAATGTTTAAAGATTGAAGAAAACCCACACCAAGACCACCTTTTGCTTTGGTTTTACCATATCCCATGTTACCTATTGAATCTTTCTTTTATTATGAGTACCTACACAAATGAACTTTCTCTTAATACCTACACAAATGAACTTTCTCTTAATACCTTCCCAAAGGAACTTTCTCTGAATACTGTCAGATGACACTTATTAAGACCCACAACAAATCTGATGTCACTTACCAAGTTTTGTTGACCCTTGTTACGAAGTAATGTGGATAACAAGCAAAACCAAAAGCACACAAAGACACAATATTTATGTGGTTCGCTCAAGGTGATCTACATCCACGAATAGGAGGGGAGTATTCTTAATTGACAAAGTTCACTAACAGAGATTACAAGTACAACCAAAAGAGATTCGACTTCCTCACTAAGGATACAAAGACACACAAATAACTTAGCAGACATCGCTATTTATTGTGAAGGGATCGGACCTAAAACCTTAATGGGTGAAGCCTATTGGCCTATAAGCCCTTAAATGGTGCCAACTAATCACAATCTGCCATGCAGTAGCTTCTAGAACATTCATCGTTGATATGCATTGCAAGAGCATCAACAACACACATGATGGAGCATCAGGATCCATAGTGACACATCATGATGTAAGAGTGATGCATGAAGATCACCATGACACATTAACCATCATGGTGACATATCATGCAATAATCCTTGAGCATAACTTTTGAGCATCCTTTGACAAACTTGAGCATCATAGTAAACAACACAACATAAGTGGCACATCAAAGGATACCATGTCACATCAAGGAACATTGTGGATCACCTTGCACCAAGATGACACATCTTATGTAATGAATGACACACCTTTTCCAAGGCTGGCGCATCTTCCTCCAAGATGGTGCACCTACCTCTATATGGACACTCCTTCACGAATGGGGCACCTTGGCATAGAGTGGTGCATGTTGCTTCCTATTGGAACACTCTCCTTCACAAATGGCGTACCTAGTCTCCAAAAGTGGCACACTCTCACCATAGTGGTGCATCAAGCTTCATGAATGGCATACTTGCTTCCCATGTGGTGTATCTAGACACTAAATAGAACACCTTAAACCTAGATGGCGTATCCATGCACCAAGGTGCTCCATTTCACTCCCAGGTGCTCCATACCTCTTCTAGGTGCTCCATACCCCCTTTTAGAAGATTCGTTGTCACTTGATCTATTCCTTTTGTCAGATGATCCATTCACCTCTCAGATGATTCATTCCTTTGTCACATGATATATGAATCTCAAGTGCTCCATTTAGTTCAAAGGGCCCTATTGAACTCAAATTCTCAAAATGCTGAAGTCACATTTAATAATCCCCACCATGACTTAAACGTCCTTTAAACTTCACCTTAGACAAGAACTTCATCCCTCTTCCTGCCATCAAACCCTGAAGGGGCTTACCACCTGTGAACATTAACCAAGTCAAAGAAAAGCTTGAACTCCTCTCTGGATTCTCCTTGGTACCAGACTTTTAAATGCAAAACTTGTCATGGAAAATGATAGGTTTCTCCACCTTCAAAACAAGACTCTGAACGAGACCAACCACCAATGATCTTCTTAACTCTATATCACCTACATGGTATGAGTCTACCGATACAACCAAGTTCATATGGCGTGTATCAGCACCATACATTAAACAAACATCAAGTGTTCCCTTCAAGCGTCGCACGATCCACTTGACTACTTCTCAATGAGCTTTCCCCCGATTGCCTTGAACCACTAAAGAATTACCAACAAGTTTGGATTGATCATAATAGAATGACTGCATGACTTTCTCAATGTAGTGAGAAATATATAACCATCATGATCTTACATCTCTATATATCTCCATCTTTTCTATCTTCTTTTCAGCTCCTAAACCGTTCATCACAAACTCTTTCTCTAGAAGCTTTATCAAGCTGTCTTTCTCGGCTTCAACATCACTAAATTGTCAAGAGCTTCATCAATGTGACGATATCATTGTCAATAGGATCATATCAGAGTATAACATTGTTGATCCATTCACTAAGCCAATGCCACCGACCAAGTCTATTAGTCAGACAAAGTCTCGAGACATTTGATCTGCAAATGAATTAGATTGACCATTTGTGTTTGTTTGATTTAATTTATAAACGTATAACAATATGAATTGTAACCATTTTGATGTTTATTTCACATAGACTTAATAAAAAGCATTTGTTGCTATCAAAGTTGTGTTATTCATTACTCTGTTTCAGTTTTGCATGTTTTGAACCCACTTCCAAAATATTTAATTATGTTCAAAACTCTACATATAGTTGTACTCTCGGGAGTGAGTATTGGAATTTAAGATTGTCATGAGTGTTTGTTGATTGGATTATACGATATTGAACATTGCAATAACACTGCATGAGTACTTAAAATTTAGATTTTAAGTATTGGAATCAACCGCACTTAGAGATTTCTTCATGGATCTTGTCAGTTGTCACAAGTAATTCGAAGAAGATAACATCTTTTATTCTTCAAACCAAGATGCATATTGGGTTTTGCTTACCAAAATTGTTGTACATTCCAACACTATTCGTAACTAATAGTCATAAATGATATGTCCATAGAATCGGAATCGTGTTTAGGAAAGAAATTCATAGCACGTAGTCGTATCAATTTTTTTATTATTCATTAAAAATTTTGTTTTAACTCCATTAACATATAACTATTCTGGATTAACCTATGTATAACTAAACGACGAACACAATGTCTAAAAACAATATTAAATAAAGTATTCGAACAAAACGCAAAAAATAAAATTAGATTAAATAATGTATTACAATATTAGATAATGTATTTAAACAAAATATTAAAAAAATATTTTTTTAAAAATCCTCAATCATAAAAATAAAGAATAATTTTATTAAATAATAAGATAAATTTTTAAATACTAGAACATTAACTCATTGACATTACTATAATCTATATTAACATGTTTAATTCATGAATAACAATTGGTTTTTTAAAGATTCATATTTAATCATGTTAGTAGAGTAACCATGAATGAAGACAAATGTAAATGTTAATAATAATTTTAGGGATGAATATGTATCTTGTAGAGAGTTAAATTCAAATGTACTACCAATGGTGAATATTGAATTAATCCACAAAGATGACATTTCATAGATCGATGTTGTTAAATGGATCTTGAAAATGAACCGAGCCTATATATTCTTCGACTAGAGATATATGTTGGCTTTTGAGTAAGTGTAGCATCACGACCAAATCGAATGGTTACAATTGTGTCTCCCTTACCCAAAGAAAAGAATAATGATACCATGGAAAAATAAAGTAAAATTCATTCCTAATAGCTCTCCAATTAGCTAAAAGAGTTTTTTTTTTTTTTTTTTTTTTTTTTTATACCACAAACATTGGAGCTTTCCATAAATCAAAAGTTGGGTTAGACGGATCTAAAAACAAATTAACGTACCACTACTTCCACAAAGTTATGTTTAAAAAAAATAACATATTTGATATAACTTAAATTCAATAGAGTACTCAAGTAAAGTAACATATTTGATTTTCTTTAAAAAAAAAAGTAACATATTTGATATAACTTAATATAAGGGAAGAATCATCAACAACCTTGACTAAATTTAGTTAAAATGACAAAGACCTTGAAGAACCCAATACTCAAGTAAAGTAACATATTAAATATCGTTTTGTCCATTCAATACTTTCAATAGTCAAACATTGTACTCATTAAAACCATTATAAAGATAATAAAACAATAAAACATCAAGAAAAAGAAAAAGAAAACATAGCACATGCTACCATTAAGATACTTAATCAATTAAAAAAAAACAACAATCTTATAAAGTTTTATGTAATATACTCCATATCATATAGTAACAATAAGAACAAATGAACATATGAATGAACAAACCTAAATTATATAATAACGATATCAATTTTCAACCCTAACCCTTTTCTTTTCTTCCTAAAAACATCAAATTTCAACACAAATCTTTAACTTATTTTGCATTTCAAAGATGATCATCATACCAGAAAAGATTGACCCATCACCATCATCATCATCATCATCATCATCATCAATTATGCTGTGGTGGTTTAATGATCCTTTGAAGAACAACAGTTCTAGCGCGTCTAACATCCCTGCTACAATTATCAGCTTGCATCCCCAAATCATCAACATTTTTCATAAACGAATTCAATTTCAATTTAATCTCTTCGATTGCAATTTTCACCATTTCATCTCCTTCGATTACATGCCCAGCATTCTTCATCATCTCCTCTATATCCATTTGAAGCCTATCAACAAGAACACGAATCGTATCAAGATCCCTAATTGCGACAAAACCCCCAACTTGCATTGAACTGATAATCTCCTTTTGCCCTTTAATGGCGTTCTCGTAGTTTTTCAAAAGGGAGTTAATCCATTTCCCCATTGATCCAAGAGGGATGGCGGTGGCTGCTGCTAAAGCAGCCGCCACCGGTGGTGCTGCCATGGCTGCCGCCACCACGGAGCATATCAACACCGCTGCGAAAGTAGCCACGAAGATTACAGAAGATACTTTCCTCCATGTTTGAAGATACTTCACCTTTTTATCTAACTTTGTCTTCTTTGCTTGTAGCTTCTCGAGCATCACCATTTGTTGTTTGTAAACAGAATGGAATATTTTGAAGAATTCTTCGGTAAATGGATCACCAGCGTCTTTGAAATTCTTCAAATCTTCGAGAGTTTTTTCGTATCGATTCTCTTCGACGCCTTCATCGTCATCAAAATGTTGCAAAGCGACAAGAATCAACAATTGGCTATCTCGAACTCTTTTCAAACATTTATCCAAAGCAGAACAGAAATCGAGGGTTTGAAGACTATTCTCGAAGTACTCTTCTACTAACTCGAACAATTCCTGATTCTTCCATATATCTTTCTTGCAATGTAAGATCACCTTCACGACTTCTTGATTCATTTCTAACAAACACTCTGTAACTTCTTTCAAAGTATCGAAAGATAAAGCTCGAACTTCAACCCCAACAGCCAAAGTATTGATCACGTTGTTTGCTCGAGCATGTAGCATGGCGTCAAACGATTGCAGATCGGTATCAGATCTGCAAGCTGCTTCATATGCGTTCAGCTCTGTGATGATTTGTTGTGTGTTTTTCAAAGTGATTGCAGGTGAATCAGAAGAGGTAGTAGCTGCAGCAGATCTCTTGCTAACGTGCGCTCCCATTGTTTCAAATCAAATAGATCTAATAAAAACTTCTTCCAATGCGGTTCCAAAGTTTCAAATTAACCAACGAACTGTAGAAAAAGAAAAAATCCCCAAAATTCAGCTAGACAATCGAACAAACAGCTAATCTGCAACAGACGAACTTGTGAAACCAATCAAAACCTCAAAATAAAAAAGAAAAAAATTGATTAATTAAAGCGATCGTGAACAGAGGCAAGTGTTTAAGCTAACCAGATTGGGATTCAATGAGTGTTGAAAAAGATTGAAGAAATGGGGAGAAGAAGAAGATTGGCGAGAGATAAAGATGAAACGGTTAAGATGATGAAACAAATGGAAAGGGGGCTGTAGCTTGCACGCATGAATGAAAACTTTGATGGTAAACGCGGGAAGCAATGTTTTTAGTTTATCTGTTTGTTTCTCTCTCTAGAATCGCCATGGAAGCAGCTGAAGGTTTGGGAGATTTTGTAGCTGTGAAAACGCGCACCGAAGGTTAGAAAACCGAGAAACTTAAGCTGAAAGACAAGTGAAAAAAAAAAACGAGTGAAAATAAAAAAGGAGAGAGAATGTGTGTGTGTGTTAAAATTTAAACCAGAGACTTTGAGTGAAATTTAGGGAAATTACATAAAGTGACTTGGACTTTCTCTAAATGGCTAAAAATGCCCTTTATATTTCGTAAGTGATGAATATTTATCACATTTAAGGAATGGGTTTTGTTTTCTAAATTAGACGTGCATCTTTCTTAGCAATATTTCAATATAAGTTGCTGACAAGTGACACCATTGATTATGATTTATCATACATTTTTTTTTATAGAATTAAAGAATAATCTAAAAGTTTGAATATTTACAGATCATTCATATAAGAGATGCGATACGATTAGATTGATATGATTGATATAATAACGTGGAAATATTATTGTTGATCAATCGTAAAGAATTCAATTTTGATGACTCTATATCAGAGATAATATTCAACGTTAAAAACAAGATATATAAAATTATAATTTTTAAAATTATTTTATATTTAAATAGTACATTAAAATGTTCACATTAAAAACATATCATTGTATTTTTTTTATTATTATATTGTTTTATTAAAACATATTATTAATCATGAAATGATACATAGTTTTATGCTATCGTATTTTTTATTATTATATTGTTTTATTAAAATATATTATTAATCATGAAATGGTATATAGTTTTATGCTATGAAAAATTATTAACATAAATGTGACAAAACTTAAATATATATTAGAAATTGTAAATATCAAATTCAATACTTGACTAGTTTTTAAAAAAGGTTTTGCACAGTAATTTTTTTTGTGTAAATTAAATTTTAAGTATATTATGTAATATTTAAGAAGAATCTTATCAAATAAGAAATATAAATATGATGAAAATTGTAATAAGCAATTCCTAGCCTTAAATACAAAAATCAACGACCGAGATTAAACAGACGATTACATGTGTATACAACATGGTTGATCTTGTAAAAATCACGATTGTCGGATTAATTTGACCCAATAGTCGTGATTCTTTCTTACATTTCTCATTAGTATTTAGCTTCTTACCTAATTAAAAGTCTTATTTAAGAATTTATATGTGAAACAAAATTTGATGATTTAATAGCAGATTTGACGAATAACTATTCACATAGACGAAAAAATAATAATAATGGTATTTCATCCTAATAGTTAAACAAAACAGACCAACATATTTGTCTTTACCATATGACTATTATTGACAACATTTCCTATATTTTATTTGTTTAGAAATGTAGTAGAAAAATAATACAACAATTAAGAATTATCATTTACAGGTGTCAAGTGAAACACGAAAAATAATAGTCGTAAATGATAAATTCAAAATCAAATGATTCATATATTTCATTATTTATTACAAGTGTCAAAAGCCTAATTTCAAATTATCAAGTTGAAAGTCCAAAGCAATTAAAGAGAAAGAGACAACTCTAAATTGTTTGCGTACACGAGTGGGCCGAAAGAACAAGAGCAATAAAACCCAGGGATGTGGTTTGACGTTTTGATAAAGTAGGAGGATAGCTTTAGAAAGATTTAGTTCATAATTGTGAAAATTTATTTGTTGCGTACGTGTGGACACGAGGGTTCACGCGCACTAATTGCCGCCTTTTAAGGATTTCAAAAAAAATTAAAGTTTTCACGCCACGTCAAACTATTATTTCCGTCATGTGACGTGTGACGGTGTTTTGTTTTGTTTTTTAAAATTTTAAGGTGAATTACTACAAACAAAATTGCAAGAATGGTCATTGGCAAAATTGTATGATTTTAATTTAAAAAGTTTTGGTTGTGAATCAATGGTTTAACATTAGACTTTCTTATTGGTTACCATCTCTATACATTTAAATTTTGATTATAATCGATTATTAATATCTAACATTTAGGTGTTAGGATTTTGATTTATGATGAGAAGTAGGATTAAACCCTAGAAACAAGATTCTAGCCCCCATTTGAGTTGTTTTTGAGCTTTTGGTGGTATTTCATGCTTTTTGGTGAAAAAAAAACGATTATACCCTTATGATTTATGTTTTTCATTTTTTTAAAATGTCCACCCACTTTTCTCTCCACTTATACATTTATTTTCATAAAGTTACAAACCTAATAACCGGAGAATCTAAACAAAACTCCATTGCCACTATATTTACGAGGATGAACACACATACACACACAACAATTTTAGAAAATCATTTCAAAGAAGATGAATTGAGCATTTTTTTAGAGATGATTTCTCATTCTGGTACTCAAGTTGTAGGTTAGTGAAGATTGTTTAGGAGTTATAGTGGTCGATTTGTGTGACATTTCCATTTTTACGACCATTTTAAAACTTTTATTTATTCTTATTTAAAACAAATTTTATTTATAAATGCAGAATTTTGTCCAGTAAAAGTATTTCTGGAGAAATATTTTTCAATGATTTATAAAATATCGGGATGTTATAAATGATACAAAACATAAACATAAACATGTCTTATAGTATCTTAGAGTAATAGTCTGCATCTCCTTGAATCTATCATCATTCATATATCTTTGTATCGCTACTTGTGATACAAAAAAACTAAGTGAGTCAGGTTATGAAACCTAGTGAATATGTAGAGTTTTCAATAAAAAATAATATAGTTTAATATGTTTAATTATCAAACAACTAACTCGGTTACTTATCCTCGTTTTCTTCTTTATTATTCCCTAATGAGCTATTATAAGGGTCATCTTAGTCATCGTAGCTGATAGTACTGTTGGAGGGATTTCTCTGCAATACATGTCAGTAAGTTTTATTTCTATTTTTATTCCTAAGGATCATCTTAATCATCGATGCTGACAATACTGTTACATGAATTTCTACGTAATACATATCTGTAGGAAGTAGAGTACAACAAATATGCATGAAGTCCATCGTTGCATGTGTTCTATGGGAATGTTATAAAATAGTATAGTGGTTGTCATCTATATTGTGTTAGATGATGTAATACCTGCAAATTCGGGCTACACATAATAAGTAATAATTATTAAAATTAAATCTTTGATTAGGATAATCAGTAGTCGTGCATGCTGCAGACTATAAAATATAAGTTTCGTATTTTAAAAAATAGGAAAAATCAACCAAATCGTCTGTAAAAGGTAATAAGTGCACCAAAAGACACACACACACACACACACACATATATATATATATATATATATATATATATATATATATATATATATATATATATATATATATATATACCGGGTTAGGATTAAATGTGAATAATATATATTGTGTGAACGTATCACAAGTTTTGGACTATTAGATTTAGATGTGTATATCACTAAGATTATATGGTGTACCATAGTTACAACGGAACACAACACACATAAACATTTTTTTAATAAAAAGGTCAAAAATAATAATTATAAATGCATAATTTATATTCTGATTAATTCTCAATAAGGAATGTGATTGAATGAATTTTTGTAACCGATTGCAAACACATTGAATTTTTGTAAGAAAAAAAATTGATTATTATCCATGCATTGTTCTAAGAATACGGTATAATATTATGGATATTTAAATTCTTTAAGAATAATTTCATCATTTAACATGATTAAATTAATTAATACCATCAATTGAATTATATTCTTTTTTGAATGAGTGTTTCCTTGGTTCTTTTAGTTTATTTTTGTTTATTATTGTTTATACATTCTTTAAGAATATATATACTACAACATATATTATCAATAATAGCAATCAATATGAATCCGAATATAATATGGTGAGACGTTTCCTAGAAAAATAATTAGACATTTTTGAAAAAATAATAATCGTAAATTCTTGAAGAATGTAATGTTTTATCAAAAACCTTAACTTGATTTTATGAGTAATGATTAAGAATCGGTTCAACTTAACAACAAAATCAAATAATTTTATAGAATTTAAGGTTAATTAAAAGTTGGTTTTTATATATTTCATTCTTTCATTCTTTATACAACTGAAGAATTCTTGAGGAATTGAGGGTTCTAGCACCGGAACAACATATTTATTTTATATAAATAAAACAATTCTAGAAGAATATAGTGTACATTTTGATGATGATAATAAACATAAATAACTATTGTTATGAAATAAGACATTCTACAAGAATGACATTCTATAAGAATGTGTGCAATGAAATCAAATGGAATCATATTGATGGAGAGAATTGTTCATCGTCTTCTCCGGGTGAAGCTGATAACGTCATCAAATGGAATCATATTGATGGAGAATTCAGGGTTAATAATCGGTTCAACTTAACAAAAAAATCAATTAATCTTGTAGAATTTAGGGTTAAAAGATGGTTTTTATATATTTCATTCTTTCATGCTTTATATAAATTAGGAACTCTTGGGGAATTAAGGATTCTAGCACCATAACAACATAATTTTTTATACAAATGAAACAATTCTTGAAAAATATAGTGTCATTCTTATGATAATAGAAATAAATAAC